GAGGCTCTAAATGAGAACTATTCAATGACACTTTCTGCACTGATATAAATGTTCCATGCTCTGTGTGGTTCAATACACTAGCCACTAGCCACATGTGACTGCTGAGCACTTAAAATGTGGTTATGGTAACTGAGAAATGCAATTTTATATTTTATTTCATTTTAATAAATTTAAATTTACAGGACAACTCTAGACAACTGTAACTTCAGTTATTATAACTGCATGGTTTTCATACTCCTTCCCACCTAATAAACTGAGTAAGACACTGATGGTAGGGTCCCTCAAAAATTAAAAGGCCCCAATTCCTTTTTGCCAGGGTCAAAAATTCTTTTGATTCCTAAACAAATTCTTTCAATTCCTTTTTCTAAGATCTCTTAAATCTAGTTACCACAGGTCCCACTACTAGGCTCTGATGATCTTAAGGAAAAAAATGTAAAAAGAACTGGGACTCTGCTATTACTCGACAATTTTCCTTAGCTCAAATACTAGGATGGTTTTTTGAGATTTCTTCTTTCTTTTTATTACTTTCATCTAATATATTAATAATGTTTGTGTCTACAAATGCAGGAGACTAAAAATTAGAAGCATTAAAATGTAATGCTCAAAGTTCTACATAATGAGAAAATCACGGGGCTGGAAAAATCAGAGATCTTATATCACAATATCACCAAGGGAATAAAGCAGTTAGAATTTGATTGCAATATTCTGAAGGACAGAGCCAAGACCTGACATGTAAGACACTACACAAGGACTTCCACAAAATGGAGCTTTTCCCTCCTCTCTTGAATGCAGTAATAGGAATGGTGAGAATCCACTAAAGAACATGATCTTTATTTTGGTTAAGGTAATAATGAGCTGTTCTCATGTAAATAGGCCAAAGGGTCTGCTAGCTTCTTTAGGGCCAATTCTGACAACTGTCCATGTCAGCAAGCCAGCCAGCAAGCCTTCTTAGAAAAGCAAAGCCAAAAAAACCCCCTCCGAAAACAGGTATTCATGTTAAAGATTTATTAAGCTACTGAACCTTTTTTATTCATTCCATTCAGGAGCAAAAATTAATACATCAATTTAACCCTTCATGGTCTACTCTCATCTTTCTTCAAGAAGACTTTTCTGGTTCTCCCATCAAGAAGTACATACGTAATGCCTCTTTCAAACATCTACAGCTGTCCTTCTTTTTAATGGCTATGTTGTGAGAGTGCAGATTCTGACTCAGTAGGCCTCGAGTGGGGACGCTGGAGGTAGCTCCCAGGTGACCCCCAGGTGATGCCTAGGCTCACAACCACACTTCTGAGTGGCAAGATGTTTAACCCACTTGTACAAATACCTTAGAGCATCTATCACTTTCCTTTTGGAATTCTAATTATTTACATACATATCTTCTCTCCCTCCACCAAATTATAAATTTCTTGGAAGTATGATATGAATCTCAAATATTTTTTCTCTTTAATAGCAGATAGCAAACAGGCATCCAAGTAACCGGAGGAAAGGAAAGAAGAATACCAATAAAATGAGGTTCCTATGGACATGGACAACAGGTGGTCACTGCAGGGGAGAGGGGAGTATAAGGGGACTAAAGGGTAATGGGAAAAATATACAATAAAAAAACACAAAATAATAATAAAATAAAAAGTAAAGTTCCTGTAGCCTGGGTCACAGTTCATCTCTACGGAATGAAAGGTAGGCTAAAAATCAATAACTGCTGTGAAAAGTCCAACTGTTTCCAACCACTGACTTGGTTAGATGGAACAGAGCACAGCGACCATCAGCACCGGGAAAGCTGTGGTCAAAGCGTGGTCTTCTCCACACCGAATGGGTGACAGGGTGAGGGGGCACAGGTCTGCAACCTGCTGAAAGGCTTGAAGATGTTTTCCAGGAAATAACCAATCAAATAATGAGTCTGTTAATTAGGGAGTTAGAGGAATATCCTTTTTGAAAAACAAGATAGACTACACAAAGAATCACCGAATCTTCGAATCCAATGTGCTTACAAAAAATTTAGTTAGGTGGTTTATCCTAGGTTACAGTGCTCAGTACATGGAAGACTTGGAGCTTGTGCATAGAAGCCCTGACATTCAGTCCAGCATTCTTTGCTCTGTGCTGCCTCTTGAATGTACACTAAATGAATAGGCAAAGTAATAACACTTTGCATTGTTCTTAAATTGTAGCTTATGAGTATACCTATTCTGCATTACTGGAGGAAGTAAAAGTAAACATTTTTAAGGGACAAATAACATGAACACTTACAACATTACATATGTACAGAGAAATAGAAATGGTTAATAAATATAAAATATTTAACTTTGGTTGTAATAAAAGAATGTAAATTTAAATCAGATACCATTTTGGTCTACTAAATTGGCACATATTACAAAAACAATCACACATTGGTACAACTTTCCAGTACAGCAATTTGGTACAATGTGCCAGAAATACTAAAAAACAGACATACCGTAGGATCCAAGAAATATAATTCTAGAAAAGTTACCTGAGGATATATTTGGAGATTTGCAGTAAATATAATATGTGTATCTTCTGTACACTTTTTGATAATTTTGTATTTATGCCCAGGGAAAAAATGATCACAATGAATTTTTTAGGCATAGAGTGATATTCCAAAATGCCTTTGAGATCAGGGAAAACTACTTGCCTATAAAAGTTTAGAATTATATGTTTCAGCTATTATCAACGCCCCTATGTCTGGATAGATCTAGTTCTTTAGGACTAAGGTATAGTTTGCCTGAAAACAATTATTGTAGTAAGAGAATATATGGCTTTTTAGAACAAGACACTTAAGAATAAATGATGACCCTGAATATTCAATGGCTGCACATGGGAGGGAATATACAAGTCTAGAGGGAAAGTGAAGGATGAGGAAGAAAATATACTGGGGAAGATAAAGAATGTATTTTCAGACAGGAAAGATACTGAGTCAGCAAGTTCCATCCCTAGGACAGAACTACCAGTTAGGTAAATAACTCAAATTAGATTAGGCAGATGTTTTGTAAGTATTTGCTAACTGGCATATATTATTAAAATTACTTTGGTAAATACTGTGATCAAATTGAATCTAGCATATCTGGATTATTTAACCTTTCCTTGGGCTTTATTTTTCTAGCCCGTAAATCTTTACAGGTATCTCTAAAGTGTTTTTAAGTTTCTATTCCTCTACCTTTGCTTAGATAAATATACAAAATGCTAACTAGATTTTAGAATTACCAGGAAAAAAATTCCTTCTTTTTTATCATTAACTGGATTTGTAGTTTTCTATAAAAAGTATGAGTTATTTCAAAATAAATTCTTTCTCCTTCTTAAACTTAGCTCTGTAATCAAACATACCATTCCAAAAAAAGCACACCCAATGTAATTTTCCTACTCAGTGTCAACTATTCTTTCCACTGTTTTAAGATTCCCTTTGCATTTCCCCCCCAGTAACCTGAAAGTAATTTCTGGCAGACAACTCCTATTTCAGGCCATTTTGTTGATACAGAAAAGAACATTATCCAGTGTCCTTAAAGAGACAGTGATCTCTAATAACAATGAGTATTAATCCAGTACTTCCAGAAGGAAAAGAGAACCATAGTGTATAATGAAACTACCAAAAACTAACTGCATACTGAATATTTACCTATATACCAAAGTCATTCATTGCTGTATATGAGTGGCAGTAAGATACTTCCTCATTTATTACCATGTCTACATAAAACTTTTAGTTCTCAAAAAATACTTTAACATCCCCTTTAGTTTTTTTTATAGTGTTTTTTCCTCTGATCATTCAAGTACTTACAGTTTTTGTATGTGACTTGCAAATCACAGAGGGATGAGAGGAGGGAGAAGTGGGAGGAGAGAGACAGACAGAGAGAGTGAAACTAGTTTAAATACAATATTAAAATTTTTATTTACTGTGGTGGAATAAGTACTGTAAATCAAGTGACCTGATTCCAGTCCCATTTCTGCTGATAACCAGCTATATATGACTTCCTTTGAGTCACTTAATCATGTTTCTTACATTGTAAAGAAAGTGATTTTGACTTAATGTCCATTTTAAATTTGGCTTTTAAAAAATCTACAATTAAAGTTTATTCAAACATTGTATTATAATAACAGCTCAGTTACATATATGTCATTTTTTCCTATATGGAGTTAGTTCTTCACTTTTGTCTCATCTTGGCCTGCAGCCTCGATTACTTAGGTTGCACATTCAAGATGCACTTTGGAGGAAAATGTAGTGATGAAAGATTCTTTCATAAGATGGGATGGAGCTGACCAGGTGAGGGAGTTAAGGAATGAATGCATATGTACGCAAAAAAAAAAAATGTGATTATTCTCAAATCAAGAGCACTGAAGAAGAACTCTGCTTAAATTTGGGGGAGACGGCTGTAACAAAAATTGAGGGAGGCCTTGAACTGAGACTTTCAGGTAGTAACAGACTCCACCTTTATACCTTCAGTGGACACCAAACTAGTCTCCAGTTCCGGGTTCCCAACCAATCATATCAAGCCACAACAGAGGGATCTGCCAACCCGGGCACCGTTTCAGGACTCCAGAGTGAGATTCCACGACCCCAGCACCTGCCGGCCTCACACAGTTTCCAAAAGGAGGTGATGAAAAGGAACAGTAGTAGGTCTATCCCCGTAGGTCTATCCCCGGTCTTATTCGATTCAAGCTACTAGCAGGTCCAGGAGCCCTCTAGACCGAAACTACCTCCAAACTTCAGGGACAGGGGGAGCGCCTCGCTGTGACCCTCCCACGTATCCTTTCTCCAGGGCCAATTCTCCTATTTACAGGTCCCAAGCTCCAACCGTGGTTTCTCAGGCCTCGGGAATCCCGGGAGTGGAAAGGGGACAGACGGATGCCAAGAGTGAAGGCAGCGGGGGAGGGTGCACTCCTCACCACCGGAGAAAAAGATAAAGCAGGACAGGGACAGCTGTGTTCCCCCTCGGCGACGGCGGGAGGCCGTCTCTGAGTCTGTCGAAGGCTCTGTCATTCCTTCACTCACTCACCAGGAGCAGCAGGGAGCATCTCAGGTCGGGTAAGGATAGGAAGACGACAGGATTCATGATAACGCTGAGATCCGCGGCAGGGACAGGCGTTGGCTGCTGGGAATGGGTAGGGTTGGACTGGGTTAGGAAAGGGCTGGGCTCCGGGAGCCGGCGACAGCGGAGGATCCTCCCGGCAGCTACACCCCGTCCTCTCGACCCGGAGCTCCAGCGGCGAACACCCGGGACAACTTCCAGAGAGGCCTCTCAACCCTCACTTCCGGGTCCTGCCCACCTCGGAGCACATTGGGAAATGTAGTCCTGCACCTCTCTAACTGAGCTCGTCATTAGGCATTCAGAACTCCTTTCCCATCAGGCTCTCGGCCCACGTCCACCGAGTTCTCTGCACGCGAGGCCCTGTGGGATAAAAAGGGCAAAGAACGGGTGTACCCCTGTATTTCGGAGGAATAGGAACTACAATTCCCAGAGGACTGTGCGACCCAGAGTCTCCGGCGGCCCTCTAAGGGGCTCAGTCAGTTTCAGCGAGTTGGGGTCTGCCCCAGCCGGATGTAGTGTACTGCACTGGCGGGATGGGCGGCCCAGTGGGGGTCGTGCCTCCTGGAGCCGCCCCTGGGACGTGAGTCCTGGAGGAGGCAAGGGTGAGTAGGAGGGTTCCTGGCTGGGGAAGCTCCAATCGATCTGCACTGCCTTGGCCCCTGCCTCAGACTCCAGGGCTTGTGGCCTGAGCTGTGGTCTGAGCCTTCTTCATTGGTCTCCCCGCCTGCTGCCTTTTCTTTCTGCGCTAATCCCTGCATCATGAAACCGGAGCCTCTTCTCGGGGCCCAGGATGAATAAGTAAATGACTTATCCCTAATTGTTTCTGTGGGCTCGTATAAGGAGTACATATGAGATAGGATGGGAAAGCACGTTGTAAACTGAAACGTTCCAGTGCTAAAGTGATTGCTGGTAGTGCATGAATCACTGCCCATCTGACAATTAGTGAATTCCTTCGCCAAGCTGTTGAGGCTCAGTTACCTCTCCGAGCTCAAATACAAACACCCAGCCGGGTGATTGTCACTTGCCCCAAATGGAAGCCAAACAAACAATCACTACTAAGTATCAGGGAGGCATTCTGCGTTTTTGGATTCTCCCTAAGCCCTGCCTTTGCCCCAGCTTTCCTGCTACTTGGAGTGTCCTTAACCCCTTCTCTATATGGAATTTCATCTCAAATAGCAGTCTCTAAGAACCTCCCAAGCAACCAGCCCTTTCGTCCAAATCAGACTTACTCTTCCTTGCTTGTGACTGACTACAGCACCACTAGTTTTGTACAGTTATAATTATTACACCATTTATTACACTGGCTTGTTTTATAGTTAGTAATGATGATGAGACCTTTGCATTTTATAGCACTTTATAATTAACAAAGTGGTTTTGATTTTCACCTATAATTATTATTACAAAAAAACAATAGTGCTAACAAATACATTTGAGAAAAAAAAAGAAAGAAAGAAAGGAACTAGGAATCTCTTTCCCAGCTGACAAAACCAAGAACTTTTAGTTATGTTTCTGGTCTCCTAGTCCAGTTCTCTAACTGCTATACCACTGATCTCTCTCTCTAACAAAGGAGATGGAAATGGGGGGTTTAAAGAGAATAGATACTCACAAGTATAAACTCATTACTCCAAGAAATTAAACTTTGATCCTGCTCATGCTCTGGACTTAGCACCCAGACTGACTTTCACTCCGCAAACATCCACTGAACAGCAGCTATCTATCTGTTGGTGAAATAGATATATATATATAAATATAGGTAAATGAGATTAATTTTTAGTGTATTTTCAAAGAATACAAAGAATTTGGGGGCGGGGTGATTCTCACGGGCCTCAAACTCTGATCACTCAGAACCTAAAATGATATGTATCTGAGTTAAGAACAATATCTAGCACATAGCTGGTACTTAACTTGTCGAATGAATCAGCAAGGGCTACCTTTTCCATTTTTGTATTTTACAGAAAGTCAGCTGAGGTAGCCAAAGGGCACACTGCTTGTTATTAATGGAACAGGGCCCCAGTGCAATTATTCATCTGCAGTGTTTCTACCTCCATCCCTGTTTTGTAGCTTCTTTCAAGTCACTTCAGTATAAGCCTGCATATGACAGTGGATTTTCTTACATGATAGATGTGCTAAGACATGACAGAAATGTCTCACAATGCCCATGTAAAAGAAGGACATGAAGAGCTGACCTTTACCAAAATTAAGAAAACACTTTCACTGTAAGGCAGAATTGGAACTGCATATGTTTCTCAGTGACAACACGAGTACTAGCTCATCAGCAGTGATAAATTTATCTTTACAAAACTCCCGGATTCTCAGGAGTCATAGAGATTGGAGTCACGCTTCTTGGTGAAATCAGAAGAGGGCCTTGTCTATCTTTCCAACAGCTATAGCCGATCAACAGCTGCTCTCTTCAAATAGCTGTGTGTGCTCCAGTTTGCCATGATCCCCATGATTTCCTGTGTTTCTTACACTTTTTAACTCGCTGCTCCTTATAGGCATTCAATTTTGTTAGAACATGTTATGTTCAGGAAGGAAGTTTAAGTTCATTGATGCAACTACTCTTTCCTTCCCATCAGGTACTTGAATTTTTGCTGCATTTCTGATGTAATCCAGTTTCTGCTTAAGCACTCACTATTTTCCTATGCATAGAGTGCCTTTCTAGACAGTTCTAACAACCATATCAGATTACCAGTCAGAATAAAACTTTTTAAAATGAAGTATGGTGGTGAATCCCACTGATGTGGTGTTCCAAGTAAGGTCCTAAGGTCAGGATCTCAAGCAGTGTATATTTCCCTGGTAAACACAAGGAGACAGCAAATAAAAATTCTGCCTTTGCTCTTCATGAAAGAAAGAACTAAGTGCTTTTTTTCCCCATTACTTGGAATACTTATTGCCAGTCCCTTCTTGCCAGTCCCTTTCTTTTGAGAAATCAGCTGATAGTCTTATGAGGACTCCTTTGTAGGTAACTCTTTGCTTTTTCTCTTGCTGCTTTTTTAAAAAAGGGGTTTTATTTATATTTGGAAAAAGGGAGGGAGAAAGTAAGAAACAGCAATGTGTGGTTGCACCTCACACACCACCAACTGAGAACCTGGCCTGCAACCCAGGCACATGCCCTGACTAGGAATCAAACCAGCAACCAGCAATCCTTTGGTTTGTAGGCTGGTGCTTAGTCCACTGAGCCACACCAGCCAAGGCAGATCTGCCTGAACCATTAGTTTACATCATACTTATTTTGTGGCTTGGTCATTACCTTTTTTTTTTCAATTTATTTATTTATTTTTAGAGAGCAAGGGAGGGAGAAAAAGAAGGAGAGAAACATCAATGCGCGGTTGCCTCTCATGCACCCTGAACTGGGGACCTGGCCCACAACCCAGGCATGTGCCCTGACCGGGAACCAGCAAACCTTTGGTTCATAGGCTGGCACTCAATCCACTGAGCCACACAAGCCAGGGCAATTACTTTTATTCTCAATATCAATTCTAATCTTTAGGATCATGTAGAATCAAATTATTTATATTAACTTAAGAAATCAAATGTGGTTTTGGGGCCCTGTGCCTAATGTTAAATATCAAGTCTACCCCCATTTTTTCCCCTCGATAGTCCCTGGGAAGGGTCTTGGGAGCATCTAACCCCTTCATTTTAAAGATGAGCAACTTATACAAAGGATCACCTAATTTGCCACATTATGGTAATTCTAAGGTTAGGACTGCAGGTTTTCTGAATCCTAGCCACATATTCTAGTAAACCATATTTATAACATACTCAATTATGACAGATGAGACAGGTTTCAGAAGTGTTTCCTGTGTGTGCTCATGACTGAAATCATTGTTTCAGGTTGCTTCAGTTGTTGGGAAGACTATGAACAGATCAGAGAACTTGCTCTTCACTGGCTCCTCATTAGCATCCCAAGTTCATGCTGCTGCTATTAATGGAGATAAGAGCGCTCTTCACAGGCTCATCATAGGTAAGCAGTCCCTGTAACTACAGAAACTTTAAAGATAACTTTTTGTCCTAAGGAAGTTTGTTAAACTTAGTTTTAATTTGCACTGTATTATACATTTTAGTCGAATTATGTTAATTATTATTTACATTTTGTTCCAAAACTTGAACAAGAAATAAAGTAAGTCCTGAGACTTAAAAATATGGATTAGAATTAGGGGAAAAGTACTTGAAAAATAACTGTATTTGACATTGAATTTGGATATGTACCTAAGGTGCTGAGATAATTCATCTTTGTAATAACAGATCTAAAATGAGATAGTAAATAATGATCTTTAATATTTAATATATACCAAAAGTACTCACATTTACAAATAATTTAAATTATAGTGATTTAAAATTGATTCAGTATTCCCCCGTCATTGATTCAGTTGGTGGACATCGATTCAGTGCCCTAGCTAGCATGCATACGGAGATAGGTCCAAAACAGAAGTTCTAGACAGAGAACCAGGCAAATAGGAGAGACAGTGTTAGAAGACCAGAGGAGTAGGAATTTTTCAGAGTTGTAAAACCCACAAATTCATCTGTTCATAAGTCACTAGTCTTATGACTAATTAATTAGTCTTCCTAAATAAAATAAAAATATATATTATTTGTGATCAGTTTACACATCATGATTGACAGCTTGGGTCTTTAAAATATCCACACCCCTTGAACTTCACACCTATTCTTCCAGACTTCCTTTGCGCCTGCCTTTCTGGTTTCTCCAGGAACTTCTACCCACGCGCTCTAATCTCTGGCTAGGCTTTCTGTTCCCCAGTACGCCATGAATTTTGTCTTACTTTTCTCTACGCATCTGTTTCCTCTCTTTTCTACCTTCTCTCCCCTTACCTTCCCCTCTACTAAATAAGCTTCTACTTATCTTTAAAGACAATTTTTTTTTACCACATTCTGTGAAGATGTATTTTTTCTATTAGGAATGTTATCACCTGATAGCTCAGCTTCCTACATTCACAGTTACTCTCTGGAACTTGACGTCTTCAATGCCTTTGAATCATTTATTAAAACATTCCACCATTCAGCTCACTAATGAGAACAATAGTTTTTCTCCTTTTTTTTTAAGTTTTTCAAAATTTTTTCATTTTTTTTCCCTCTTACCGTTTAGTTCCCTTTTATTCCCTCCACCCCCGCAGTCACCATACTGGTCTCCATGGCCATGAGTCCTCTTTCCTTTTTGCTTCATCCTTCCACCTCCTACCCTCCCTGACCCCTGAGCTGTCAT